ATTAATAAAATATATTGGTAAAATTAAGTATTCAGTATAAAAATTAAATACTAACTTTGGTATGGCTAAAAATAGGGGTAACTTCTAGGTTAAGATTGCAGTTTGAACATGTGCATTTACTTTCTTTTCCATTCCTATCCCTACTAAACGGACAATAAAGGGACATTTTAAAAGCATTCTTCAGGACAATAGAGCAGGAGTAAATACCACAGTAAGAAAATGTTAACTCTCGAAAGCAGATGAATGAATGATAAATGACTTCATACACTTGAGAAATGGGGATCTGAGGCCAGCAATGGGGAAAGTGGAATGATTTATAATGCAGAACTCCTAAAAGGCTTAGGAGTTGGTGATACCAGGTACCTCTGGATTTGGGAGTGAAAGCAGAATTATTGGTTAAAAGTCTGATTAAGGAACAGGTTCCTAAATCCCCTCACTCATCCCATTCTGCTGCAACTGCCCCTCTTTATTGTTTGACCCTCAACAGAGGATTGGAAGTTTAGTCTCTGGAGAGATTAAACAGAGTCTCTGAAATGGGGACACTGAGTATAGCTGAGGGTGGGTGTACCATACAAAACACAACTAGAGTAAGTGAATATTGCCATTCTGAGTGCTGGGACCCTCCTTGTCTCCTCCACCCCGCTTAGCTACCAGAATACCATCAGCGAGTCCTTCAGCAGCCAGGTGGGGAGTCTTCCAAAGGAATCTTTCTAGCCCAAGAAGTAAATAACTTAAAAATACTGCAAATGAGGGATTCCTTGGCTAGTGCTATGGCCCAACCATATCATCTTCAATAAAGCCCTTGGTCACACACCGGTTTAGACCTTCCAGTCAGTTCTTTAGTGCTTCACTCTTAAACAGAGCAGAAACTAAGGTGCTAGACATCTGAGGGGAGCTTCAACCATGGAAGGTAGAGACTAAACAAACACAAGAGAAAATTGTAAGAAATGGATTGTGCCAGGAAAGCAAATTTTAAAAAACAAAAAACTGCCTGATATTAATTTATCTTCGGTTAGACAAGAGAATGTCATATCTTTGAAGAGAGAACAGGATATTTTAAAAAGAAAACATTCTGATATCAAAAACAAAGTGAGAAGTTACCTGGAAGTATAGGAAAAATACAAAGACTTGGCAAATAGAAAAGGTAGGAAGATTGGAGAACAGACTAAGAGGTCCAACATCTGATAATAGGTATTCCAGAAAGAACAGAGGGGAGGAAAAAAGCATCAATAAAGTAATTCAAGAAAATTTTTCAGAACAGAAAGACATCATATTTCTAGACCGAGAGGACCCACAGTCAATGAAGCTAGATCCACACCAAAGCAATCATTGTTGAACTTTAGATTTCTGAGGAAAAAGAAAATCCTACAAACGCCTCCCCCCGAAAATTTTCAAGTCACATGTTCAAGGATAAGAAATCAGAATCACTTTGACTATCTCAACTGTAACATTGGAAGTGAGAAAACGATGGAGCAATGCCTTCAGAATTTTGAAGAAAATAAATTTCCTACTTCAATTCTATAGCTAGCCATTCAAATGAGAGGATGGAAAAAAATGATTTCAGACATGCAAGGTGTATTAGTTATCTACTGACATGTAACGAGTTGCCCTCAAACTTAGCTTAAATCAGCAGATATTTATTATCTCATATACTGTCTGAGAGCCAGGAATCTGGAAGTGGCTTAGCATTATGGTCCTAGCTCAAGGTCCCTCATAAGGTTACAGTCAAACTGTTGGTTGGGGATGCAGTATCTGAAGGGCTAAAGGATCTGCTTTTAAATTGACTGACGTGACAGTTGTCGAGAGGCTGTAGGTCCTTGCCACAAGGACTTCTCCATAGGACAGCTCATGATGTAACAGCTTTGAACAGCAAAATTAACAATTTTGATTTAACATATGTATCTAACTCTGTATTCTGTTTTTAGAAATACAGAGTATATATGCCTTTTAAGTATACAAGGATAGTGGTATAGATGCTCATTTTATTATGGTTAAATAATTATTAAACTAGGACATTATATATACTCACATGTGATATATTACACAATTAAAAAGTTAATGCCAAAAAAGAAGGCAGGTATCAATAATTTAGGTGTGTGGTAATAATAAAGGACTGATCTATAGTTGGGGCCATGGATTGAAGAGGAAGGAGTAGACAAAAAGTGTAAAGAGGAAGAACAAGTAGGACTTGGTGGTCAACGCGTTCTCAAAAGAATCCAAAGTGCTTCTGAACCTGGTTAGTGAGAAGAATGAATGACAACTCATACAACAAAATTGGTAAATACATGGACATTTTCTTCTTACATTCTTGACCCCAATCTTAAAGACATGTGCCAGTCTTTTAAAAATATATTTGCCAAGCTTATGCCTTTTAAAATAAACTTTCAAGAATTAA